CATGCGAGGTACTTATCTGTTTTAGATGATCCTGCAAGGTATTTTAAAAGTGTTCGATGATCCGGCAAGGTATTTTATCTGTGTTCGATTATCTAGGAAGGTATGTATCTGTGTTCGATGATCCAGCAAGGTATTTATCTGTATTATATGATCCTGCAAGGTATTCTATCTGTGTTCGATGATCCTGCAAGGTATTTTATCTGTCTTCGATGATCCAACAAGGTATTTATCTGTGTTCGATGATCCGGCAAGGTATTTATCTGTATTCGATGATCCAGCAAGGTATTTATCTGTATTCGATGATCCAGCAAGGTATTTATCTGTGTTCAATAATCCTGCAAGGTAGTTTAAATGTATTCGATGATCATGCGAGGTATGTATCTGTTTTAGATGATCCAGCAAGGTATTTTAAAAGTGTTCGATGATCCGGCAAGGTATTTTATCTGTGTTCGATTATCTAGGAAGGTATTTATCTGCGTTTGATGATCCGGCAAGGTATTTATCTGTATTCTATGATCCTGCAAGGTATTCTATCTTTGTTCGATGATCCTGCAAGGTATTTTATCTGTTTTAGATGATCCAACAAGGTATTTATCTGTGTTCGATGATCCGGCAAGGTATTTATCTGTATTCGATGATCCTGCAAGGTATTCTATCTGTGTTAGATGGTCTAACAAGGTATTTATCTGTGTTCTATGATCCGGCAAGGTATTTATCTGTATTCGATGATCCAGCAAGGTAGTTTAAATGTATTCGATGATCGTGCGAGGTATTTATCTGTTTTAGATGATCCAGCAAGGTAGTTTAAATGTATTCGATGATCATGCGAGGTATTTATCTGTTTTAGATGATCCAGCAAGGTATTTTAAAAGTGTTCGATGATCCGGCAAGGTATTGTATCTGTGTTCGATGATCTAGGAAGGTATGTATCTGTGTTCGATGATCCAGCAAGGTAGTTTAAATGTATTCGATGATCATGCGAGGTATTTATCTGTTTTAGATGATCCGGCAAGGTAGTTTAAATGTATTCGATGATCATGCGAGGTATTTATCTGTTTTAGATGATCCATCAAGGTTTTTTAAAAGTGTTCGATGATCTAGGAAGGTATTTATCTGTGTTCGATGATCCGGCAAGGTATTTATCTGTATTCTTTGATCCTGCAAGGTATTCTATCTTTGTTCGATGATCCTGCAAGGTATTTTATCTGTTTTCGATGATCCAACAAGGTATTTATCTGTGTTCGATGATCCAGCAAGGTATTTATCTGTATTAGATGATCCCGCAAGGTTTTCTATCTGTGTTAGATGGTCCAACAAGGTACTTATCTGTGTTCGATGATCCGGCAAGGTATTTATCTGTATTCGATGATCCAGCAAGGTAGTTTAAATGTATTTGATGATCATGCGAGGTATTGATCTGTTTTAGATGATCCAGCAAGGTATTTTAAAAGTGTTCGATGATCCGGCAAGGTATTGTATCTGTGTTCGATGATCTAGGAAGGTATTTATCTGTGTTCGATGACCCGGCAAGGTATTTATCTGTATTCTATGATCCTGCAAGGTATTCTATCTTTGTTCGATGATCCTGCAAGGTATTTTATCTGTTTTCGATGATCCAACAAGGTATCTATCTGTATTCGATGATTCTGCAAGGTATTTTATCTGTTTTCGATGATCCAACAAGGTATTTATCTGTGTTCGATGATCCGGCAAGGTATTTATCTGTATTCGATGATCCAGCAAGGTAGTTTAAATGTATTCGATGATCATGCGAGGTATTTATCTGTTTTAGATGATCAAGCAAGGTAGTTTAAATGTAGTCGATGATCATGCGAGGTATTTATCTGTTTAAGATGATCCAGCAAGGTATTTTAAAAGTGTTCGATGATCCAGCAAGGTATCTATGTGTGTTCGATGATCTAGCAAGGTATTTATCTGTGTTCAATGATCCAGCAAGGTATTCATCTGTATTCTATGATCCGGCAAGGTATTTTTCTGTGTTCGATGATCCTGCAAGGTATTTTAAAAGTGTTCAATGATCCGGCAAGGTATTTATCTGTGTTCGATGATCCGGCAAGGTATTTTAAAAGTGTTCGATGATCCGGCAATGTACTTCAAAAGAGTTCGATGATCCGGCAAGGTAGTTTAAATGTATTCGATGATAATGCGAGGTATTTATCTGTTTTAGATGATCCAGAAAGGTATTTTAAAAGTGTTCGATGATCCGGCAAGGTATTTTATCTGTGTTCGATGATCCGGCAAGGTATTTATCTGTGTTCGATGATCCTGCAAGGTATTTTAAAAGTGTTCAATGATCCGGCAAGGTATTTCAAAAGTGTTCGATGATCCGGGAAGGTATTTTAAAAGTGTTCGATGATCCGGCAAGGTATTTTTAAAGTGTTCGATGACCCTGCTAGGCATTTATCTGTGTTCGATGATCCTGCAAGGTATTTTAAAAGTGTTCGATGATCCGGCAAGGTACTTCAAAAGTGTTCGATGATCCTGCAAGGTAGTTTAAATGTATTCGATGATCATGTTGTAGAGGAACCTAACCAGGCATTTTTGAAAAGAACAAATCCTTGAGTAAATGGTTTTGAGAGGTATTTTAGTATTTTAAGACACAGTGGATCCCATGTAGAAATATACATTTAAACATATTTAATTTCCTGGTTCCCTCAATTCCATAAGACGGCACATTAATAAAGTGTCATAGATACTGCATTAAAGTGTTTTGTCAACCGTATGATTTAATATAAATATTCTGTAAGGAATAATTGGGGACATTTTTGTTCAAAACCCACCTTTTGTGATGATAAGTAGCATCCAAAAAACACCACACAAAAAACAATCTACGCTGTGTACCCGAGGTAGATAGAACAGTTCCAGTCAAATGTCGGTATACCTGATGGACTTTCATTATTGTCACATTAATATTGTTTTCAAAGTACGTTTGATTTAGTCATACTGTATTATTGTGTTTGGTGAGTAATCTCTCAACGCCATAGTAAAGCCGAAGGATATCGTTTGAGGAAACAACTATTTCCCTTGTATTTCTCCTTGTTTGTTTCTGTTGCATACGGTAGTTATAGTAGCATGAGGACAGATGTCATTTCAGAGTAAACAATTCTTCCAAAACATCGTATGGCATCTCTTGCAAAAGTGTGGTGTTACCTGGAAGCAAACTAGCATTTCACATGTACCAGTCCAGTTTCATATTCTATATATATGTGTGTGTGTGTGTGTGTGTGTGTGTGCGTGCGTGCGTGCGTGCGTGCGTGCGTGCGTGCGTGCGTGCGTGTGTACTTGCGTGCGTGCGTGCGTGCGTTTTGCAAAGACAATCGTGCATTTGCTGCAGATGTAAATTTGCCATTTTTTTCAAAATCACTTCTTTCTTTAGGTCAGCACTGAAAGCTATTCCCCAACATGCCAAGGTGTTAGATGCCTCGAGACCCGTACAGGGAAAGGTGTCTGTGTGGAAGGTAACTGCCGAAATATTTTCTCCTAAATTGGTATCTAATCATTCATCCATCTTCAGTGCATGTCAGTCTTTTGGTCGGTTCCTGTTAACGTCTCCATTGAAACATGATGTTTAGTTAAACTACAGACTGTCATCTTTATCTAAACCCATTTAACCGACAATGTATAACTACATATTTTGTTTTTAGTTTAAAATATTTGTAAAACATATCTTTCGCAATAGCATGTATTGAATGGGTGAGTGAATATGGTTTTACACCGCTTTTAGCATTACTTTAGCAATAGCACAGCAGGAGGACACAAGAAAATTGGATTTATACATGACCATGTGGGGAATCGAACCCGGGTCTTAGGCGTGACGGGAGGAACGCTTTAAACAAATTCATTGAGGAGATTGCCTTGTGATGAAGTCAACCATAAGGATCTCTATATATAAAGGGGGGGGGGGCACGGGTGACCCAGTCGTCTAAGGCGCCGTGATTCGCTGTGTAGAGTTGCGTCCCTTGGGCATGCCAGAAACCTATGATTGTGTGTTCGAATCCTGATTCGCCACGATTATGTTTCTAGGTTTGTCAGCACCATACCCGTGCTCGTGGGTTTCACCGAAGTGGTAAACGTCTGAGACCTGCATCACTTCGGGCTTTCCTCCCACATTAAGCTGATACGCCGCGATATAACTGGAATACTGTTCAAAGCGGCGTTAAACCAAACTCACTCACTCACTATATTTAAAACGTCAACGCAACAGAATAACCTAACTCGATTGTTCTGCGAAACAGATTCCATTGGGCGTAAAAGGCATAGAAAGGTCCGCCTTTCCTGGTTTAGTGCTTGGTGCAATGAATGTATATGCCTTCAACGAGTGTCCTAAAAGCGTGAGTGAATGAGAGCGTACAACAGCCATCAGTTATGTAGGCATAGCATGAATAGAATAAAGTCCATGCATGTGTTTCTATTATATTATAAACGCCTGTCACCTATGAATAGTATAACACCTAGAATATCACAATTGTTTTATTCAGGGTGAGTGTGTATGGTTTTAAGCCGTTTTTAGCAATAGTCCTGCAATATCACGGCGGGGGTTACCAGAAGTGGGCTTCACATATTGCACCCATGTGGGGAATCGAACCCGGGCCTGTGGAGGGGACATGCCATCGCATGTGTCTGCACACCCGCCTGATAGAAACCTGACATTTTATAGATTAGCTAAATATATTCCAAACTTAGCAGTTTACATGATATCGACAATAACTCTGTCGCTTTTATTTTCAGACATTAAATGTAGCTAAATATATCCAACATGTGATAGGCAGCATTGCATAATTATGTTGTTATATTATACGATGTTTTTATGTCTTAATGTCGTGATAACTCCACTCACTTACTCACTCACTCACTCCGACCGACAGTCAGACCGTCAGACCGTCAGACCAAACAACCCACTCACTCCCTGTTGTCTTACAGCAAAAGAAAAGAAGCCGCACCTCCTGACACGGGCTAACAGCCAACTTATCAGTGCCAGTATGGATGGAGACCTGTCCCGAGTCCAATGCCTCTTGTCTGAGGGCCTGGCAAACATCAACGCTACAGGGCTACACAGGAGGACATCATTGATGTTTGCAGCAGAGAAAGCACACAAAGATGTGTTCGACTTACTTGTGAGGGAAGGCGCTGATCTGCTCCCCGTGGATGATGACGACAACACGATTCTTCCCCTGGCCTGTGAAGGAGGAAACATAGATATAGTGCAGTATCTCCTCACACAGAACGTGACGGACATCAACAGTGCAAACCAAGACAAGCAAACGCCAGCAATGAAAGCAGCATTCAAGGGACACGAGGACATGTTTGGCCTACTTGTGAGGAAAGGGGCTGATCTGTCACTTACGGATTTAAACTGTTCCAGCATATTACACCTAGCCTGCACAGGAGGAAATATCGAGATAGTTAACTATCTCCTAACAGAGGCACTTGTGGACATAAACAGTACAGACGAAAACAACTACACACCAGCAATAATTGCAGCCACCGCTGGACATAGAAACGTCTTTGACTTACTCGTGGTGAAAGGAGCTGACCTGACCATATTGGATGCTGACGATAACAGTGTTCTTCACGCCGCCAGTCGAGGAGGCAATATCGAAATAGTAAGGAATGTTCTCACGCTGAATATTGTGAACATAAACGCCAGAGACATTGGAGGAATGACACCAGTGTTAGTGGCAGCATTAAATGGACATGATGAAGTGTTTGACCTGCTTGTTGAGAAAGAAGCTGATCTGTTAATTGTGGCCAATGACGGTGACACCATCCTTCATGAGGCTTGTAGAGGAGGAAATGTCCAAATAGTGAAGTACGTTCTCAATCAGAACATTGTGGATGTCAACAGTAAAGGATACAATAGATTGACACCAGCAATGAAAGCAGCCGTTGGGGGACACAAGGCTGTGTTCTATTTACTTCTGGAGAAAAGACCTGATCTGTCCCCAACTGATGACCATGATAACAACCTTCTCCACATGGCATGCGAAGGGGGAAATGTGGAGTTAGTTAAGTATGTCCTCGCGCTGAACAGTGTGGATATTAACAGCAGAACAGAGGATGGGAGAACGCCAGCAATGATAGCAGCCTCCATGGGACACAAAGACATGTTAAAGCTGCTTGTGAATGAAGGAGCTGATCTGTCCCTCGTTAATAGTCATGGTAAAGACGTTCTTCATATTTCCTTATCGTGTGAAAATATGGAGGTAGTGAAATATATCCTAACACAAGACGTTGTCAACATCAACGGTGCAGACAAGTATGGAATGACACCAGTGTTACTGGCAGCAGCAAATGGATGCATAGACATGTTTGATTTAGTGGTTAGTAAAGGAGCTGATCTTTCAAGAAGATATGTTGCAGGTAAAAGCATTCTTCAGTGTGCCTGTTCAGGAGGAAATGTGGACATAGTGGAGTATGTCCTGGCACAGGACAACATGTTACAGGACATCAACAGAATAGGTTTGGACGGCTGGACACCAGTGATGTTTGCAGCATTCCAGGGTAACAAAGAAGTGTTCGATTTACTTGTGAAGAAAGGTGCTGATCTGGCACAAATAAATAACGATGGCAACACTATTCTTCATCTGGCTTGTACGAAAAATTGGAAGATAGTCAAATTCCTCCTTTCTCGCAACATTGTGGACATCAACAGAAGAGGAAGAAATGGTAGGACGCCATTGATGATGACAGCACTTTCTGGTAGTAAGACTGGATTTGAGTTGCTCATGAGGAAAGGAGCTAACCCATCACTAGTAGATAAACACGGCAACAACCTACTTCATCTTGCATGTATGAGAACACATGTTGACATTGTGAAATATATCGTTGTAAATGCGATTGTAGATCTAACCCTCAGAAATAAGAACGGATTAAATGCAACAATGGTAGCAAAGGAACAAGACAATGAAGTAGCGTATAATTTTTTACTGTCTCAAACCTCTATTTAGAGGCTAAACTATTTGATAGTGAGAAGTAAAGAAGTAAACTTCATTTATCCCAAAGAGAATGTGGCTGTGAACCGGGAGAGCTCCCTTGGCTCCTCCATACAAACGAACGTGTGTGTCTTGAAGCGACGACTGTACAACATGTATCATAATGAAGCCCTTACCCTTCCCTTTGGAATATTAAATGGTCCCCGACGTGTTACGTGGCAAATGTTGTTAATAAGCAAGGTAAATAAAAGCTGTAAACAAGGTTGGTCGATTGCAACAATCTCTGTGTTTCTAAGGCGCCGCAAGTCCATTCCTTCAAATCTATGATCGTGGGTTCGAATCCAACATTCGCGCTGGGGTCTCCCCGTCATCCGTGACCGAAGTGGTAAACCACAAAGATATGCATCACTTGGATCTTTCATCCAACATGAAGCTGACACGCCATGATGTGACTGAAATACTGTTCAAAGTGGCGTTACAATTCCTCTCACTCATTCACTATAGTGTCATCCTATACTATATTTCATATGACACACGCCCTGATTAGAAAGTGCAGTCATGTGTATCAGGTATCGGGTTTGCGGGGGATTTGAGAAAAGGGTTCCAACGGCTGTTTATGTTTCGTTTCCGCAGCATCATTCATAAATCCAGTATTTCTCCTTGAACGTTTTATAATATACATACAGAGATTATTTGATATTTCTTTCCAGAGAAAAACATTGAATTTAGGTTCAAATGAGGGTTGGGATAGTTTCCGGAGCATAATTCAGAAACGGTTTATCTTTCCTCATGAAGCGAAAAATAGGCAAGTGTTGAACCGGTGGCTTTTGCTGTTCAGGAATGAGAGATTTATTTATATTATTGTTTTTCCAATTCAAAAAGTTGGACATGGGTTCAGAAATTGGGTTCGTTTCTGGTGTGTAGAATATTATTTTGTGAAACTAAATTATATCATCTTAATCAAATTTAGTAATATTGAAACAGAAAAACCAAAGCATTGCCAATGTAAGAGTTTATTGTGAAACGTACTCAGCTACTAGGTACTTTGAGATTGCTTGACATTTGGCGCTACTCTCTTCCATACTGTCACGATATCCTTACCTTATAACCAGCAACATCCTCACATTATGAGTGAGTGAGTAACTATGATTTTACGCTGCTTTTAGCAATATTCCAGCAATATCACGGCGGGGGACACCATAAATGTGCTTCACACATTGTACCTATGTCGGGAATCGAATCCGGGTCTTCGGCGTGACGAGCGAACGCTTTAAACACTAGGCTACCCGACCGCCCCTACAACATTATGACCTCACAATAGTCATGTGGAGTTTAGAATATAATGTCTCAAGGGTCGTCTCATGAAGGGTCTCTAAGCTGGTCTCCATTAAAGGTTGTATTGCTGCTTTGAGCGTTCAGCATTGAGGAAGAACCTACGGTTTGAGTATGTGCAGTTGAGATATACACATGGCTTGACGCCGCTGACTGGCACATTACTCCCTGTTTTCAATACTGGCATGTCTGCCCTGATGATTTAGGAAGTGGACCAGGCGGGACAATACATCTGTCATCACAGCTACAATGCACAGTTATTAACTCCCTGGTTACGATACTGACACGTGTATGTGTCTATGGAGATCACTCCACCTTTTCATCTAGGAACCCCTTTGGTCCATTAATGTATATGTATGTTGTATTTGCAGGGCACACTCGATCGCGTTAGTCGCCTCTTACGACAATTATAGTCGCCTTTTACGGTAAGCATGGGTTGCTGAAGACCTATTCTAACCCGGATCTTCAATGGTCTCTTGATTTTCAAAGGCTGTTCAGTCCGCTTTGCCTTGTGATTGTATATCCCTGATTGTATACATCGTCCAATTGTATATAGGTCTTCAGCAACCCATGCTTGCCCTAAAAGGCGACTATGCTTGTCGTAAGAGGCAGCTAACGGGATAGGCTCGCTGACTTGGTTGATGCATGTCATCGATCCCAATTGCGTGGATCGATGCTCATGATGTCAATCACTGGATATGTAACGTGATATTGCTGAATACCATTTTGGTTGAGAAAATTATTCACGAGCCTGGCACAATCGGGTCTAGAATTACTATCTTGAAGAATCCCTGAGGAGCCCTGTGGAACACAGACATTCCATCCCAAACCATCACTGTACCGCCGCCAAAATGATAACGCTATCTGACGTTGACGTCAGCAAATACGTCAGCAAATCTCTCTCCAAACTGTGAGCAGAGTCTGCCATCGTTGAATTGTAAAGCAAACCTAGATTCATCCCTGAAGATTATCCGCCCCCACTGACGACTCGCCCTGTCTCTGTGACGTGTGCACCTGGCCCTACTGCACCCCTATGACGTTGGAGAAGCAGTGGTCGAACTGCTTGCTGCTGAGATCGAATAGTTTGGGCTCGCAAACGATTCCGTGTGGCCTGGTCCGATACCCGAATACCAGTTGCATGTCGCAGTTCATCGCTCAGATGTCTAGCTGTGACGGGGCATTGACGTAATGCCATGTGTAGGATATATCGGTTATCGCGCTGTGATATTGATCTTGGCCCACCAGACGAGGACGATTCTGACTGAAATTGGTGGCTTGGAATCGCTGCCATAGTCTACCAATCACACTTTGGCTACATCCAATTCTCTGGTCCAAAGTCCTCTGTGAATAACTATCCTGCAGCCGCGCAATGGCTCTTCCTTTATCAACATTGCTCAGTTGACCTTTTCATGACCATGATGAACTTTCAAGTGATAACATCACGACCATGGTAGCGATTTGTATGTCCTAATTGTTCACAGTGAACACAGACTGCGGGTGCATTGACAAAACAAACGCACAATGATCGGGCAACACTGCGTTCGGGCGATGCAAACAGTTTCGTTGAGCCATGTTTTTCAGGCTGAATTGGTGATTTGTCAAAAGATTCTCACAGTCGATGTGGTTGCATGTGAATACGATTTGCACACACTTCAAGCTTTAGGCCACATTAAACTCATTTCAACCGGTCTTGCGATTAGAAATTTGTAATTTGTCAAATTTACGATCGTTCAGGAATATACGTTTGACCCTTAACTTATTTTGAGTAGTATATATCAGGACGACTACTCTACCACTAAACCAGATTGCCCTGCTGCTCCGGTAGGCTATTTTCAGACGTGTTGAAATATGCCTCCATCCAACATTTACATATTTTATGTAAATACTCCTTTTACCTTATATTCATAGTATCATTTCATATTGATTCAACTGATATAAGCTGAGCAGTCCCGTTATCTTATCTTGTGTATATGTATATAAACTTGATCTGAACATATCTACAGTATAAGTGCATGGGTTTGAGGTCTACAAGCAAGACTTGTAGCATTTAAACAATACTACAGGAATTATACTCTGAACGGTATCATGTTTGCGTCTTTCAGAGTGGTAAAATATATTTTGCGATGATATATATCTATATATCTATCTTCAAACAATCTCAGCACTATCAGTCTGATGACCTTTGCTGACAGCAAATATGACACTCATAGGACGAGTTAGAGTTCACTTTATCTAAAGTATCCATTGCAAAGGCACAGAGCAGTAAATGTTAATCACAGGGCATTTGTAGATACAATATAAATATAAATATATGCTGCATTGAATATCATTATTAAGTTTCAAAATAAGGTTCATTTACAATTAAATTTACGATATAGATAAACTATAGTCTAAAAAATAAACCATAAGGCTGAGATGTTGATCCATGTTATGGGACAAACACCATTGCCCGTCGTGAAGACAACAAGCACTTGTTTCCTAAGAAGGTTTAAGGATCTGATACAATATAAAAACAACCAATCACTAAACAGTCCAGGATCATGTATCTGATTCTACCCTGTCTTATCGGGTTCTTCAGTGCCAGCAATGGACTAATGAAACATTCTCACATTAAGGAAGAAATGATAGAAAATAAGGCAGAAGAAATATTCGACAGCGTTGGCATCAAGTTGTGTCATGAAAAATGTACAACGAGAAGTTTATGCAGAAGCTTTGGCTACGATTCGGTTAACCTGATGTGTTATTTGTTGAGACTGCAGCTGGACCAGACAGTGAAATGTGGAAGATTTCTCTTAATACCAAAACCAAACACAAAAGTAAGTATTTAAAGGATTCTGTAATGTGACTTGCATGACAGGAATGTTGAAGAATGTTTCAACACGTTTTATAGCTAAAATGGATAGAAATATCATTAAACCACCTGCATGTTTTCAAGAATCAGCGGGCCACTGTAACTTGATAATGCCCTCATATTGCTTGATGACGGGCCATTATCACGCCCGTTGTTAGGTGACGTCATAGGGTAGGGATAAGTGACGTCATGTGGTTTGTTCTATCACATTTCCATATTTGTAAAAGTTGGTCAGTGACATTTTGGTTGATTGCAGTAAATGTTTCAAAACCGATATTGTTGTTTCTTATTATTTGATACAGAATTCCATCCATTTTAGCTATAATAACGGTAACGCTATTTTTCAGGGCATTATCATTTGCAGAAGCCCTCAGTCTTTTCAACTGCCCTCCTTCGTCGGGCACTTAATGGAAGACCTCAGGCTTCTGCAAATGATTATGCCCTGAAAAATCGCGTTACCCTTTTAATAACCAATTATCTGTCTTCAATGATCCAGCACGTTATTTATCTGTGTTCGATGATTCTGCAAGGTATTTATCTGTGTTCGATGATCCTGCATGGTATTTCATCTGTATTCGATGATCCAGCAAGGTATTTATCGGTGTTCGATGATCCTGCAAGGTATTTTAAAAGTTTCGATGATCCAGCAAGGTATCTATCTGTGTTCGATGATCCGGCAAGGTATTTTATAAGTGTTTGATGATCCAGCAAGGTATTTATCTGTGTTTGATGATCCTGCATGGTATTTCATCTGTATTCGATGATCCAGCAAGGTATTTATCGGTGTTCGATGATCCTGCAAGGTATTTTAAAAGTTTTGATGATCCAGCAAGGTATCTATCTGTGTTCGATGATCCGGCAAGGTATTTTAAAAGTGTTTGATGATCCAGCAAGGTATTTATCTGTGTTCTATCATCCGGCAAGGTATTTTAAAAGTGTTTGATGATCCAGCAAGGTATTATAAAAGTGTTCGATGATCCGGCTAGGTATGTATCTGTATTCGATGATCCAGCAAGGTAGTTTAAATGTATTCGATGATCATGCGAGGTATTTGTCTGTTTTAGATGATCCAGCAAGGTATTTTAAAAGTGTTCGACTATCCGGCAAGGTATTTATCTGTCTTCAATGATCCTGCAAGTTATTTATCTGTGTTCAATGATCCTGCAAGGTATTTATCTGTGTTCGATGATCCTGCATGATATTTCATCTGTATTCGATGATCCAGCCAGGTATTTATCGGTGTTCGATTATCCTGCAAGGTATTTTAAAAGTTTCGATGATCCAGCAAGGTATCTATCTGTGTTCGATGATCCGGCAAGGTATTTTAAAAGTGTTTGATGATCCAGCAAGGTATTTATCTGTGTTCGATCATCCGGCAAGTTTTTTAAAAGTGTTTGATGATCCAGCAAGGAATTATAAAAGTGTTCGATGATCCGGCTAGGTATGTATCTGTATTCGATGATCCAGCAAGGTAGTTTAAATGTATTCGATGATCATGCGAGGTATTTATCTGTTTTAGATGATCCAGCAAGGTATTTTAAACGTGTTCGACTATCCGGCAAGGTATTTATCTGTGTTCGATGATCTAGCAAGGTATTTATCTGTGTTGAATGATCTAGCGAGTAATTTATCTGTGTTCGACGATCCTGCAAGGTATTCATCTGTGTTCGATGATCCGGCAAGGTATCTATCTGTGTTCGATGATCTAGTCGGCCACGTGGCCTGGCTACAACGAGCCACCACACTGTGTGTTCCATGATCTGAGTACAACGACCCAGCAGTGCAATGATTACCTTGAACATTTAGATGATGTTCGCTATACAGACATTGTTTTGTGTGTGCAGGATACCTAGTCGTTGCTGTCGAGGAACCTAACCAGGCATTTTTGAAAAGAACAAATCCTTGAGTAAATGGTTTTGAGAGGTATTTTAGTATTTTAAGACACAGTGGATCCCATGTAGAAATATACATTTAAACATTTTTAATTTCCTGGTTCCCTCAATTCCATAAGACGGCACATTAATAAAGTGTCATAGATACTGCATTAAAGTGTTTTGTCAACCGTATGATTTAATATAAATATTCTGCAAGGAATAATTGGGGACATTTTTGTTCAAAATCCACCTTTTCTGATGATAAGTAGCATCCCAAAAACACCACACAAAAATAATCTACGCTGTGTACCCGATAGAACAGTTCCAGTCAAATGTCGGTATACCTGATGGACTTTCATTATTGTCACATTAATATTGTTTTCAAAGTACGTTTGATTTAGTCATACTGTATAATGGAGTTTGGTGAGTAATCTCTCAACTCCATAGTAAAGCCGAAGGATATCCTTTGAGGAAACAACTATTTCCCTTGTATTTCTCCTTGTTTGTTTCTGTTGCATTCGGTAGTTATAGTAGCATGAGGACAGATGTCATTTCAGAATAAACAATTCTTCCAAAACATCGAATGGCATCTCTTGCGAAAGTGTGGTGTTACCTGGAAGCAAACTAGCATTTCACACGTACCAGTCCAGTTTCATACTCTATATGTGCGTGCGTGCGTGCGTGCGTGCGTGCGGGCGGGCGTGTTGCAAAGACAATCGTGCATTTGCAGGAGAAATAATGAGTTATCTACCAAGTCAAAACAAGACCAATTATTTGCCATTTTTTCCAAATCACTTCTTTCTTTAGGTCCACACTGGAACCTATTCCCCAACATGCCAAGGTGTTAGATGCCTCGAGACCCGTACAGGGAAAGGTGTCTGTGTGGAAGGTAACTGCCGACATATTTTCTTCTAAACTGGTATCTAATCATTCATCCATCTTCAGTGCATGTCAGTCTTTTGGTCGGTTCCTGTTAACGTCTCCATTGAAACATGATGTTTAGTTAAACTACAGACTGTCATCTTTATCTAAACCCATTTAACCGACAATGTATAACTACATATTTTGTTTTTAGTTTAAAATATTTGTAAAACATATCTTTCGCAATAGCATGTATTGAATGGGTGAGTGAATATGGTTTTACACCGCTTTTAGCATTACTTTAGCAATAGCACAGCAGCAGGACACAAGAAAATTGGATTCATACATGACCATGTGGGGACTCGAACCCGGGTCTTAGGCGTGACGGGAGGAACGCTTTAAAAAAAAAGTCAACCATAAGGATCTCTATATATAAAACGGGGGCACGGGTGACCCAGTCGTCTAAGGCGCCGTGATTCGCTGTGCAGAGTTGCGTCCCTTGGGCATGCCAGAAACCTATGACTGTGTGTTCGAATCCTGATTCGCCACGATTATGTTTCTAGGTTTGTCAGCACCATACCCGTGCTCGTAGGTTTCACCGAAGTGGTAAACGTCTGAGACCTGCATCACTTCGGGCTTTCCTCCCACATTAAGCTGATACGCCGCGATATAACGGGAATACTGTTCAAAGCTGCGTTAAACCAAACTCACTCACTCACTATATTTAAAACGTCAACGCAACAGAATAACCTAACTCGATTGTTCTGCGAAACAGATTCCATTGGGCGTAAAAGGCAAAAGAAAGGTCCGCCTTTCCTGGTTTGGTGCTTTTATTGCAATGAATGTATAAGCCTTCAACGAGTTTCCTAAAAGCGTGAGTGAATGAGAGCGTACAACAGCCATCAGTTATGTAGGCATAGCATGAATAGAATAAAGTCCATGCATGTTTTTCTATTATATTATAAACGCCTGTCACCTATGAACAGTATTACACCTAGAATATCACAATTGTTTTATTCAGAGTGAGTGTGTATGGTTTTAAGCCGTTTTTATCAATAGTCCTGCAATATCACGGCTAGGGGTTACCAGAAGTGGGCTTCACATATTGCACCCATGTGGGGAATCGAACCCGGGCCTGTGAAGGGGACATGCCATCGCATGTGTCTGCACACCCGCCTGATAGAAACCTGACATTTTATAGATTAGCTAAATATATTCCAAACTTAGCAGTTTACATGATATCGACAATAACTCTGTCGCTTTTATTTTCAGACATTAAATGTAGCTAAATATATCCAACATGTGATAGGCAGCAATGCATAATTATGTTGTTATATTAAACGATGTTTTTATGTCTTAATGTCGTGATAACTCCACTCACTTACTCACTCACTCACTCACTCCGACCGACCGACCGTCAGACCGTCAGACCAAACAACCCACTCACTCCCTGTTGTCTTACAGCAAAAGAAAAGAAGCCGCACCTCCTGACACGGGCTAACAGCCAACTTATCAGTGCCAGTATGGATGGAGACCTGTCCCGAGTCCAATGCCTCTTGTCTGTGGGCCTGGCAAACATCAACGCTATAGAGCTAAACATGAAGACATCATTGATGTTTGCAGCAGAGAAAGCACACAAAGATGTGTTCGACTTACTTGTGAGGGAAGGCGCTGATCTGCTCCCCGTGGATGATGACGACAACTCGATTCTTCTCCTGGCCTGTGAAGGAGGAAACATAGATATAGTGCAGTATGTCCTCACACAGAACGTGACGGACATCAACAGTGCAAACCAAGACAAGCAAACGCCAGCAATGAAAGCAGCATTCAAGGGACACGAGGACATGTTTGGCCTACTTGTGAGGAAAGGGGCTGATCTGTCACTTACGGATTTAAACTGTTCCAGCATATTACACCTAGCCTGCACAGGAGGAAATATCGAGATAGTTAACTATCTCCTAACAGAGGCACTTGTGGACATAAACAGTACAGACGAAAACAACTACACACCAGCAATAATTGCAGCCACCGCTGGACATAGAAACGTCTTTGACTTACTCGTGGTGAAAGGAGCTGACCTGACCATATTGGGTGATGACGATAACAGTGTTCTTCACGCCGCCAGTCGAGGAGGCAATATCGAAATAGTAAGGAATGTTCTCACGCTGAATATTGTGAACATAAACACCAGAGACATTGGAGGAATGACACCAGTGTTCTTGGCAGCATTAAATGGACATGATGAAGTGTTTGACCTGCTTGTTGAGAAAGAAGCTGATCTGTTAATTGTGGCCAATGACGGTGACACCATCCTTCATGAGGCTTGTAGAGGAGGAAATGTCCAAATAGTGAAGTACGTTCTCAATCAGAACATTGTGGATGTCAACAGTAAAGGATATAATGGATTGACACCAGCAATGAAAGCAGCCGTTGGGGGACACAAGGCTGTGTTCTATTTACTTCTGGAGAAAAGACCTGATCTGTCCCCAACTAATGACGATGGCAACAACCTTCTCCACATGGCATGCGAAGGGGGAAATGTGGAGTTAGTTAAGTATGTCCTCGCGCTGAACAGTGTGGATATTAACAGCAGAACAGAGGATGGGAGAACGCCAGCAATGATAGCAGCCTCCAAGGGACACAAAGACATGTTGAAGCTGCTAGTGAATGAAGGAGCTGATCTGTCCCTCGTTAATAGTCATGGTAAAGACGTTCTTCATATTTCCTTATTGTGTGAAAATATGGAGATGGTGAAATATATCCTAACACAAGAGGTTGTCAACATCAACGGTGCACAAAAGGATGGAATGACACCAGTGCTACTGGCAGCAGAGAATGGATGCATAGACATGTTTGATTTAGTGGTTAGTAAAGGAGCTGATCTTTCAAGTAGATATGTTGCAGGTAAAAGCATTCTTCAGTCAGCCTGTTTAGGAGGAAATGTGGACATAGTGGAGTATGTCCTGGCACAGGACAACATGTTACAGGACATCAACAGAATAGGTTGGAACGGCTGGACACCAGTGATGTTTGCAGTATTCCAGGGTAACAAAGAAGTGTTCGATTTACTTGTGAAGAAAGGTGCTGATCTGGCACAAATAAATAACGATGGCAACACTATTCTTCATCTGGCTTGTACGCAAAATTGGAAGATAGTCAAATTCCTCCTTTCTCGCAACATTGTGGACATCAACAGAAGAGGAAGAAATGGTAGGACGCCATTGATGATGACAGCACTTTTGGGTAGTAAGACTGGATTTGAGTTGCTCACGAGGAAAGGATCTAACCCATCACTAGTAGATAAAGACGGCAACAACATACTTCATCTTGCATGTATGAGAACACATGTTGACATTGTGAAATACATCGTTGTAAATGCGATTGTAGATCTAACCCTCAGAAATAAGAACGGATTAAATGCAACAATGGTAGCAAAGAAAGAAGACAATGAAGTAGCGTATAATTTTTTACTGTCTCAAACCTCTATTTAGAGGCTAAACTATTTGATAGTGAGAAGTAAAGAAGTAAACTTCATCTATCCCCATGAGAATGTGGCTGTGAACCGGGAGAGCTCCCTTGGCTCCTCCATACAAACGAACGTGTGTGTCTTGAAGCGACGACTGTACAACATGTATCATAATGAAGCCCTTACCCTTCCCTTTGGAATATTAAATGGTCCCCGACGTGTTACGTGGCAAATGTTGTTAATAAGCAAGGTAAATAAAAGCTGTAAACAAGATTGGTCGATTGCAACAATCTCTGTGTTTCTAAGGCGCCGCAAGTCCATTCCTTCAAATCTATGATCGTGGGTTCGAATCCAACATTCGCGCTGGTGTCTCCCCGTCATCCGTGACCGAAGTGGTAAACCTCAAAGATATGCATCACTTGGATCTTTCATCCAACATGAAGCTGACACGCCATGATGTGACTGAAATACTGTTCAAAGTGGCGTTACAATTCCTATCACTCATTCACTATAGTGTCATCCTATACTATATTTCATATGACACACGCCCTGATTAGAAAGTGCAGTCAAGTGTATCAGGTATCGGGTTTGCGGGGGATTTGAGAAAAGGGTTCCAACGGCTGTTTATGTTTCGTTTCCGCAGCATCATTCATAAATCCAGTATTTCCCCTTGAAACGTTTTATAATATATATACAGAGATTATTTGATATTTCTTTCCAGAGAAAAACATTGAATTTAGGTTCAAATGAGGGTTGGGATAGTTTCCGGAGCATAATTCAGAAACGGTTTATCTTTCCTCGTGAAGCGAAAAATAGGCAAGTGTTGAACGGTGGCTTTTGCTGTTCAGGAATGAGAGATTTATTTATATTATTGTTTTTCCAATTCAAAAAGTTGGACATTGGTTCAGAAATTGGGTTCGTTTCTGGTGTGCAGAATATTATTTTGTGAAACTAAATTATATCACTTAATCAAATTTAGTAATATTGAAACAGAAAAACCAAAGCATTGCCAATGTAAGAGTTTATTGTGAAACGTACTCAGCTACTAGGTACTTTGAGATTGCTTGACATTTGGCGCTACTCTCTTCCATACTGTCACGATATCCTTACCTTATAACCAGCAACATCCTCACATTATGAGTGAGTGAGTAACTATGATTTTACGCTGCTTTTAGCAATATTCCAGCAATATCACGGCGAGGGACACCATAAATGTGCTTCACACATTGTACCTAGTCGCTGGGTGAAAGTAGTTCACGATGCCAGGATATTTCAGGATATTTCAGGTCAAACCAAACATAACTCCAAAGCTACTCGCTGGTTGAAAGTAGTTCACGATGCCAGATATTTCAGGATATTTCAGGTCAAACAAAACATAATTCCAGAGCTACTCGCTGATTGAAAGTTTTTCACAATGCCGAGATATTTCAGGTCAAAACAAATATAACTCCAGAGCTACTCGCTGGTTGAAAGTAGTTCGCAATGCCAGAATATTTCAGGATATTTCAGGTCAAAACAAACATATCTCCAGTACTACTCGCTGGTTGAAAGTAGTTCACGATGCCAGGATATTTCAGGTCAAATCATACATAACTCCAAAGCTACTCGCTGGTTGAAAGTAGTTCACGATGCAAAGATATCAGGATATTTCAGGTCAAACCAAACATAACTCCAAAGCTACTCGCTGTTTGAAAGTATTTCACAATGCCAGGATATTTCAGGTCAAAAAAAATATAACTCCAGTGCTACTCGCTGTTGGAAAGTAGTTCACAATGCCAGGATATTTCAGGTCAAACCAAACATAACTCCAAAGCTACTCGCTGGTTGAAAGTAGTTCACGATGCCAGGATATTTCAGGATATTTCAGGTCAAACAAAACATCATTCCAGAGCTACTCGCTGATTGAAAGTATTTCACAATGCCAAGATATTTCAGGTCAAAACAAATATAACTCCAAAGCTACTCGCTAGTTGAAAGTGTTTCACAATACCAGGATATTTCAGGTCAAACCAAACATAACTCAAGAGCTATTCGCTGACAAAGACGTTCCTCACAGTAAACTCACAAGAACCATCAGTGTCAAGATTCACAGTTAACGTATTGGTGGTATACCTTGTGGGTGTCATCTTCGGTTACATAATCCATTTCAGTCTGTAGATGAGCTTGTTTGTGGATTGATTGTGTGAATATATTCCAAAATATACACGCGCGTCACTGATGCTACCTTGACTGGCCCTTCGTAGATGTGGGTCGCCATTGCTATATTAGCTCAATCTGGGGTAACCACCAGGCGTTCATTCCAAGTTTTATCACACATAAGTCCTGAGTGGTTGTTACACCGCTGAAGTCATGTACAGAAAAGAAATTTCGTTGTGACGAATTTAGGTTACAGTACTTTTCGGGAGCCAGCCTTTTAGTATGTGCAGAAACGGTGTTCCATCGGTATATTGAGGCCACGCCTTACGTTATATCATCCAGCCTTTGGTTTCTTTGAATGCCAAGTAGCTGCCACTGAGTTTATAGTTTCTAACGAATATGAAATTGGTATCTGCACGTCAAATATTGCCTATACGTTGTTTCTTATTTTGGCTTGAATCAGCTGCAGGTTTTTAGCGTACGTCGCATCATTTGGGTTAAGTTGTACTGCCCGCGTGAAGGCTGCCTCGGCTTTCTCATTCTTTCCCCATCGATGATATAATACACCTGGGAATAAAATAAAGATCAGCTTGAGTAAACACGCAAGACAGGACAATAGACTGGTGGAAGAATATTTATCTTTCATAACTTTAATCAACCGATGCGTTAAACTAAAGGTTTTGATAATACAAACACATTTAGGAGAGTACGACAGTTCATCACCCTTACAAAAATCACCAAGTTATGAAATTGAGAGTGGGATTTTGAACATTTATAAATGGGAGTTAGAGTTATGTTAGAGTTTTCCACTGGATAGATTCATAACTCAATGCAAGAGGTCTATCAATATCTTGAACAGCACAGAAAATATTTAGGACATCCTTTTCGCACAGGAAAAGATTTAACAACCACAATGCAATATTACCTAGATTTTGATGGAATCGGGCGCTGTGTTCGTCTATCTGTATACCAGCCAGGAAGAGGTCCTCACTCTCCTTGTACTTATCTGCCAGGATGTAAATATTGGCCACATGAAATATCAGATCTGCTTCTTTTGGGAGTGCCTTCAATGCTGCCTTACCAACCTCAATAGCATGGTCGTACTTCCCTGAAGGAGAGACAAGTATACGGATTTCCAAACCATGTGTATACAAAATGTATAGTATATTCAAGAACGTAAATGTTCATAATAATATATAAAAAAACCTACTATTATGCAATTTGGATAAATATAGTTTTTCAGAGAATGTTTTCATAACGAAAAAGGTTATTATATCACTGGAAGGTTATTTCAAACTTAAGAGTAGTCTATTTTCCTTTTCTGTTCACATATAACTATGAAGATCAATATATGTGTTTAAACAGGTTTTCGAAATTAAATTATTTATGTCATCATCGTTGGATGGATGGAAGCTGTGCCTTGTTGCGTGTCGTCGTAGTTGTCGTGTGAGTCGTTGCTCACAATATCGATCACTGGATTATCTGGTCCAGATTCCACTATTTACAGGCCGTAGTCATATTATTGGACAATTGCTGAGTGCGGATTTAAGCATAAAGAACTTACCCAGGTCATCAAGAAGCAGGATGGAGTTTTTCCAGGCTGACGTGTAGTGGGGGTAAATATGTGTTCACGTTATTTATGTCTTACCCAGGTCATCAAGAAGCAGGATGGAGTTTTTCCAGGCTGACGTGTAGTGGGGGTAAATATGTGTAGCATTCCCCCATGCACTGACTGCCTCTGTCGGCCGTCCCGTGTCTCGGTACTAATAAAACATGAAGGTAACGACTGTCATAACGAAGGAACTGAAGCTGACCTTCCATGTAGGATCTCATAAAGTTAATACTTTTAACACATGAATTCAAAACGTTACATTACGAGTACCATGGATAAGAATGTTACACAAAGGTAACGAAGGCAACATTATTTCTGTGGATGTCGCTGTGTGAAACTTTCGACAAGTGTACTATAACAAGAGAAACTAGAGGTGCAATGGCTATTAGAAATATACATGAACGTTCAACCAGTTTTGAATTTCTTCGGCGATGACAAATGCCCTCACAGGGGACATTATCATTAATCCAAAGGTGTTCAGTCGACCATAAACTTGTCACAAATATATCGGCTACAACATTATCATTATTTTGGGGGATGCAAGAATCATCTCAAATCACAAGCTAACCTTTGTTAGTAGTACTCATTTCCTTTTCCCAAAATAGTATTAAAGGTGTTTCAGTAAATTTAAGGAGGTACAGACTGTATGTATCTGTGGAGGAAAACATACCAGGTTCCCAAGATTAAAGTAGCAGTCTGCGCATTTATTGTTTTGTCGAATAGCCTCAAGAAGGCTTTCCTCTGCCAGTTTATTCTTTTTCAGTTCTGCTCGAACCACGCCGAGGTTCATCAACGCCTCTGTGTTGACCGATCTGTCAATGTACGAAACGTTAAGTAAAGGCCTCTTTTTAAAATGCTTGACTCACAAATATTTCCTTGGATACGATGTCAAAATAAACATAATACAACATCTAACGCCAACGCTAGACAATAATCTGCCGAAACCGATTCCACTGGGCGAAAAAGGCCAAATAGCTATGTAAATTATAAGAATGGATCACTGAAAATCCGTGATGACACCAGGTGTTCGCGAAAAGGGTGCGCATGTCCTGCCCCTATCGGTTGCAACCGCCACTCACACACTGTGCATACAAAAGGAAGTTTTTGATTGTAACCTGACGCCGAAGACTCGATATACAAGAATAGGGCCCGATGCAAAATAATTTGAGCGAAAGAACGTGATACAAATTAACTTTAACGAAAGCGTGTGATGAAAAATATTTTTAAGGTCCTGACAGAAAATACTGTTAATGAAGGGACGAGGTAAAAAAATGAGAGAGGGCGTGATGACAGATGCAGTACCCGATAGTGATAGATCTCTCCAGCAGCTGCTCGGCTTCAAGGATTTCGCCTTTACGTCTGAGGATGACGGCCAGGTTGAGCATTGCTGTGTTCTCTCGAGGATTCAACCTGTCGGGACACCGATCTTTCAATGACAATATACTAATGTTCCGGACAATGTAAGCAGCCATATTCAAGAACATGTGTGTGACAATAACTCATGCCTGTTTGTAATTCAAAATGTAATGACTGTTGGTGTGTGTGCCGTTAGTAGTTGGACTTTGACGCAATGACACACTGTTATTATATTTACTCAAATTTTTGGTAAATGTCCTTTGAAATTGCCAGAATGAGGAAGCCAAATTTGGACATGTATAATTCTTTCTATGATGACATCACATCTTCTCCAAATCATTAGGATTTTAGTATCAGTGTTTAGTCCTCAATATTTATGCCGGAAGTTTCTGCAGCTGGGAAGCAACAATGCTTAATATGCTCATAAAAAAACTCTGACCAATTGAAAAAATGAGCACCTACTCGATAGTCTGTCTGTATTTTATCATGGCGTAGTCTGTATTGTTGACAGAATCATAATACAGGGCCTGTCCAAGCTGAATCTAAAATTACAAAAATATGGTTGTTTAACACTGCACACAAATAGAAGAGTTTAGACCAGATAAACCGGTGATAGATGAAGTATGCAACGTCCGACAACGTCAGTGTACGATCACCGCTATCTGCCCCGTCACCGAGCCTGACCACCCGATCCATTAAGATCGTTTCTTGCAACAAACATAGGTTACCAGAGACCGATTCTAACCAGGAGGTCCCACTGTGTTGGGGCTACAGTATTGCATGACTACAGCAAAGTGTTTATTAAAAATTAAAAAAAACATCGGTGGACATGTTCCTGATTAGATGAGTCGCATTCAGGGCCCAGAAGAGATTTATGAGGTGAGGTGAAATGGTGTTGAACGTCGCGTCCAAGATTATTGCACTTATGCAGGTGTGTGTGTGTGTGTGTGTGTGTGTGTGTGTGTGTGTGTAGAGGGGAATGTCCGAGTAACTCTCCATTCCTTAAAAATAATGGAGCAGAGGCCCCGCAGGGGCCGAGGCCCATTATTTTTAAGGAATGGAGAGTTACGAGGATATTCCCCTACTTAAAACTCATCCCTACTTTTACACTTTACAATATTCTGTAGTTGAAAATATTTGAAAAGTTCAAATGCTGCTTCAAGATAATGTTCAGTTGACAAGCAACTCTCCATTCCTGAAAAATAATGGAGCGTTCAAACAATAGAATGACGTCACAGATGTGTTTTAATTTTAAGGAATGGAGAGTTACTCGGACATTCCCCTCTACGTAATGCTACCAGGCTTACCTTTGCATTGTTTGGGCAGACTCTATCTCCTGACGTGAACAAAGCCAGCGGGACTCTCCATTCGTTACTTCTCTGGAAAGGAAAGCCCGTGTGTATCTCTTACATGTGTGAGTAAGTGAGTGGGTGGGTTGGATTTAACGCCGCTTTTAACAGCATTCTAGTACAAGCAAGGCGTGTCAGCTTAACGGGGGAGGAAAACCCCAAGTGATGCGGGTCTCAGACGTTAAACACTTTGGTGAAACCAAACCTACGTGCAGGTTTCTGCACAGCATTGCGGCGCTTTAGACGACTGGGCAACCCGTGTCCCCACTAACATGTGGGAGATGTCTGGAAAGATAGAAACTGATGGAGGTAGGAGTGGAATGATAGGGAGATAGGGGCTGTGGATAGGGAAGTGGGTGTGGACGGTAGGATAGATGTAGGGGAAATAGGTACATAAGGGTTGGTGGAGCGGGGGGTAGGGGTGAATGGATAGGGGGTAGGGAGGTAGGGGTGTACTGATAATGATTTGGATGAATGAAGAGGTAGGGATGAATGAATAACGTCATATGTAGGGACATGTTACTGAGAAAGATTTGGAAGGACTGGGAGGTAGGAGTGAGTGAATGAGTATGTTCTTAACCGATTTTAGCAATATTCAAGCAATTTCACGGCGGGGAAAACGGAAAATGGGCTTCACACATTGTACCCATGTCGGGAATCGAACCCGGGTCTTCGGCGTGACGAGCGAACGCTTTAACCACTAGGCTACTCCACCGCCCCTGAGGGAGGTAGGAATGGATGTGCTGAGAAGGACCTGATGGATAGGAAGGTAGAGGTGAATGGGTAGTGAGACAGGTAGGGATAGGTGTTCTAAGAAGGATTTGAATGGGTAGTAGTAGGGGGGTAGCTATGTGGGATGTTGCTGTAGAACTGTATTGAAACAGGTCCCAGTAGCTACAGACGTCAGTGGGAATTAATTCTCGCCTACCTGAATAGACCGAAGAACAAACACAACTGTGAGGAATATGAAGCCAGCTGAGACTATCTGTAAAATAGACAGTGTCAAATATAACATGGGAACTTTGCAAGCTAAAACACATACAGTTAGATTTACGTTGTTGTTTACTGCATATTACAGCAAGCACTGGAAGTGATCAAACTATTGATAGTACTACTTTCCTAAGGACTACTAATGAAAATATCCACGAAACAGTGTTGTAGATGAATTCGATACAAATCTAACCAATATTGACTATTACAGATTTAACGCTGTATATACCAGCGGTCGCTTTCATTTGGAGACGCATTAATTTCACGATTTACAGTAATATCGCACTTATTGAATACATAAGCCATGACTATATTTTCGGTGGTATGTGTATCATGCAAACCTAAATTGTCAATGCAAAAAAGACCCGTGAAGATCCGGGGCAGAATAGGTCTTCAGCAACCCATGCTTGCCGTACAACGCGACTATGCATGTCGTAAGAGACGACTAACGGGATCGGTTGGTCAGGCTCGCTGACTTGGTTGAAACATGTCATCGTATCCCAATTTCGTGGATCGATGTTCATGACATCAGTCCCTTAATTGTCTGGACCAGACTCGATTATTTAGAGGCCGCAGTCATATAGCTGGAATATTGCTGAGTGCGGCGTTAAACAACAAACAAACAATGCAAGAACATAAACACACTAGACCTAGAGTATCCGCCGAAACAGATTCAATTGGCATAAAACCATTTCAAAGAAGGGGATATTTTGTCAGTGACCACTGGTGTCCTCCATATGTACGCATGGAGTGATTTAACAATCTTCACCGGACATGGGCTTCACGCATTTTTCCCATTTGGGGAAACGAACCCGGACTTTCGGCGTGACGAGCGAATGGTTTAACCACAAGGCTTCCCCCCAGCCCTTATACTCATGGGAACGTACAGGAATACAGCAGAGTGAAGGTCCTGGTTAACCGGAGACGCCGTATGTACTCACAGAGTTACTATTCGCCATGTGGCGAAGAAGCAGTATCCAGCCCTTTCACTCAGTGTCTGATTTAAGTACGTCTATAATAATGCGCTTTTGAAATTTCGTCAAAATAACTGTAACCCACTGAACTATGTTCTTAGGACAAATCAGAACAGCGGTGAACTGATATTATTTGTATCCAAATGGTTTGTTGGTCCTTCGAAACAAGCAGTGTGCTAACATTTCACATCAGAGATACCTCTCAAGTGTGTTTTGTTTGTTGTTTAACGCCGCACTTATTATTCGGATCTCTTTCAAGTATGAAATAAACAGCATGAGTGTACATATAAATTCACCTGTCTAGCAGTGGAATGAAATTTGTAACATATCTGCCTTGCCCCGAGCACCACCAACATACAGAAGCCAGCACAGGACAGGTACAGGATCCTCTCTGCGATCACGAAGCCCACACGGAAAAACAGGTTGCTGGCGGGCAGGAAGGGAATACCCAACACTGCCAGGGAGGTTATCAGGATCCTGGACAGAGACACATTTACAATATGGAAACAGATGAACTAGGCGTAAATATCGAAATGTCAGTGTATCAAAAAAAAACGTTCAGTGATTCGGTGTGCACTCGAAAATGTAATCTCAGCTCTCTTGGGAGTATAAAAACCTAAGAAACCCTTTTTAAAGAAGGTTTTAATTTATGCTACAATGCCCCTTTCACTGCTTGTGGAATAGATGCATTCCGAAAATGGTCTATAGAGACACCAAATGTACTTTTTGTTTTCATGTGGGGCTGTACGGAAGCCCGAGAAGGTCTAAAGATGGGCGAACACAATCTGTCCAGGCCAGTGATTAATGTCGCCTGATTTGAGACCCGTGCGCCGTGAGCAGTAGCACGTGCCGCCAGCATGAGCATATGCGTGATTGATATTTACGCTACAAACAAACAACAACCCGAATGCAACTTGTATACAGTAACCCCTAAGGCTATAAGGACAACTCACCGGCGATTACGTGTAAGATCACCATTCCAACAATGGAATATCAAGGCACCAAAGACAGTCCAGAGAGCTATGTCTGCCAGTATTCTGGGATCAGCCAATGAGGTGATGACAGGTATACAGCCCATCGACCAATCACAGCACAGCCACCATGGATTCAACAGCAACCAAGTGTTGATTGCGTAGAGGTAATTGTAGTTTAAAACCTAAAACCGTAAAAAGGTAGTTTTAAAATATGCCACGAGCTGATCATACATACTTGCTTTATACAAGCCTTCCCCAAATTTCATTTGATATATTTTCAGAGGTAATAAAATGAAATCGTACGAATAGTTATCACAATTTTCCAGTCTGCGTTATTCATAGCTTTATACGGGAATATGACCAGAGCTACTGCAGGGCACGTGATAGTCTTTGGCAGAGGAGTTTCACTCCCCGTCACTTAATGACAACTGCAGGGCACGTGATAGTCTTTGGCAGAGGAGTTTCACTCCGCATCACTTAATGACAACTAGATGGCACGTGATAGTCTTTGGCAGAGGAGTGTCACTCCCCGTTACTTAATGACAACTAGATGGCACGTGATAGTCTTTGGCAGAGGAGTTTCACTCCCCGTCACTTAATGACAACTGCAGGGGACGCGATGGTCTTTGGCAGAAGAGTTTCACTCCCCCTCACTTAATGACAACTGCAGGGCACGTGATAGTCTTTGGCAGAGGAGTTTCACTCCGCATCACTTAATGACAACTAGATGGCACGTGATAGTCTTTGGCAGAGGAGTGTCACTCCCCGTCACTTAATGACAACTAGATGGCACGTGATAGTCGTTGGCAGAGGAGTTTCACTCCCCGTCACTTAATGATAACTGCAGGGGACGTGATGGTCTTTGGCAGAAGAGTTTCACTCCCCCTCACTTAATGACAACTGCAGGGCACGTGATAGTCTTTGGCAGAGGAGTGTCACTCCCCGTTACTTAATGACAACTAGATGGCACGTGATAGTCTTTGGCAGAGGAGTGTCACTCCCCGTCCCTTAATGACAACTAGAGGGCACGTGATAGTCTTTGGCAGAAGAGTTTCACTCCCCGTCCCTTAATGACAACTAGATGGCACGTGATAGTCTTTGGCAGAAGAGTTTCACTCCCCGTCCCTTAATGACAACTAGAGGGCACGTGATAGTTTTTGGCAAAAGAGTTTCACTCCCCGTCACTTAATGACAACTAGATGGCACGTGATGGTCTTTGGCAGAGGAGCGTCACTCCCCGTCACTTAATGATACCTAGGGGCCACGTGATAGTCTTTGGCAGAGGAGGGATACTCCAGGTCACTTAATGACAACTGGAGGGCACGTAAGAATTGTTTGGCATATGAGGTCATGAAAGCAATATTTATGGGAGTGTCATGGAAAAAGAATTTAAGATTCTCATGCACAGTTAAATCATTGTCCATTGCGTCACGTTCATACGATTTAGGCCTTTAAAGGGAACATGAAACACAGGAAACATGAAACATTTGGGGACAGTTTAAAACTATGAGCTTAAAACCTTTTTTCTGCTAAATATACTCACTCTTAATATTGTGCCATTGACAAAAGAGTGTGGGTTAGCATCCACTTCGAATACAGGAGGTGTTGATCCCATGACCTGCAGTCGGATGCTGAGGAGAGACACGCCGGTAATGAACAGGATGAGGTGGCGCTGGAGGAGACCATTAACCCATGGAGGTCGGTTAAACTGGAACATATAGGAAAGACATACAACAATATCGTACATGCTGCTCCGCTCTTAATATCCGGGAGGAACGAGTGGCCAAGGCGTCTTAGGCGTTGCGAATCGCTGTGCAGAGTTGCGTCCTTTGGGCACGCCAGACACCTATGATTGTGAGTTCCAATCACGGTTTGCCCCGTTAATGTTTCTAGGTTTGTCAGCACCATACCCGTGCTCGTGGGTTTCACCGAAGTGGTAAACGATTGAGACCTGCATCACTTCGGGCTTTCCTCCTACATTAACCTGACACGTCGTGATATAACTTGAATACTGTTAAAAGCGAACTCACGCAATCACTTAATATCCGACATCTTCTGACTGATAATTGATAGCTACATTGTAAGATTTGCCCCTTCATGAGGGTCTACTGATGTCGAATGCTGATGTAGAACATGCCTTCAAAATCTCCGCCATGGTGCTTATCACAGAATATCGTGGACATTATTATACCTCCTTGGACCGATACCCTTGAATACAGAATGTGTTTGGAATGTATATTGTTAAGAGTTATGAGACGACGTTACTGTCGGTGCTTCTGTGTCTAAAAACAGTAGCACATTCTTTTTAAACCTTTCCGACCTCACCTAACTTGGAATTACGTTGATTCGTATCTGTCCAAATCGTGGTTACACAAGGATACAAACAAATAGACTCCCAGTACTCAATACAAAACAAGTAAACAATCTTACTAAGCGCCGACATAATCCTACACATTCAAACATAATCAAACACAGTCAAACACTACCAGAGACAACCCGGCACAATCCATGCAAAATAAGATGTCAACGCCAGAGAATAATGTCTCTATCTATTCAAACGGACTCCACTGGGCGCAAAATGCAAAATTGTGAAAAAAATGAAAAAAACTAATAGATCACTGAAAATCAGTGATGACACCAGGTGTTATAGAAACCAATGTAAGAAAAACACTCACTCACTCACTCACTCACTCACTCACTCACTCACTCACTCACTCACTCACTCACTCACTCACTCACTCACTATATCTGTCTGCAGAGTTTGGTATGTTTAGTTTCGTTAATATGATTTACTTACCTTCTTTAAAGAGTCCTTTGCCTTCTTAAGTCCGAGCCACTGGAATGGGTCCACTTCACACACAACGACGATGTCAAACACGCTACAGATGCCCTGCATATACACCGGGTCCATACTCACTATACTATTAATCACTATAAAACAAACTTGGATAATGTGTATCAAGCTGAATAGATACAAAGAGATTTTCTATGGAAACTGAGCAGTGTCGAATTATAAAAGAACTCGAGCAGTCGCTGTCATTGGATAGCATTAATAGTGTGTCTATCTGGCAAAATATATTTGAAGAGAATTACATTATATAATTCATAAAAGTAATCAAGTCAGGGAGTATACAGTGTGGCAACACGCATCGTGTGCTAGAGTGCTACTTTTCATTTATGAGAAAATCATGTAAGATGAATTCTGATGCAGGCGGAAGTGTTCGGGGTGACGGGACTGAAAACAATAAATATGGCTCACATAAAAACGATGTACATTGGCACCGACTTACTATGACAGTGATGTCCTGCTCCTTACAGAAGGTGGACACGACACACAGACACATACTGGCCAGTACAGACACTAGGGAGAAGGACTCGGGACGGTAACTGACCATAGATGAAACACTGAATACACTTACTATGACAGTGATGCCCTGCTCCTTACAGAAGGTGGACACGACACACAGACACATACTGGCCAGTACAGACACCAGGGAGAAGGACGCGGGACGGTAACTGACCAGGGATGACACCCTGAATACACTTACTATGACAGTGATGCCCTGCTCCTTACAGAAGGTGGACACGACACACAGACACATACTGGCCAGTACAGACACCAGGGAGAAGGATGCGGGACGGTAACTCGCCAGGGATGAAGCTGTAAAACAGCAACAAGATCCATGATATGAGAGAAACCAGTGAGTGAGTGAGTGAGTGAGTGAGTGAGTGAGTGAGTGAGTGACAGCTGTAATTGGCTTCATGCAATATATCCACGCATGGAGTTGACGCCGGGGCTCGACGTGCCTGCCCGTTAATCACATGGTTAACACACAACCTCTTCCCAGAGATGAAACCGCAGGAACATTATAACATCTACGACAGACATCAACAAGAAGAGTCTCCAGGTACGCATAGCCACAGTAGCCATACGTTCAACACCCAGTTCACAGAAAATATTTGAAACCAACTTGTATGCTAAGGTAGGGATGTAGCTACAAGAACTTACGTGAGAGGCAGGCCCTGGCATACAGCAGGAATGAAAGGAGGAAGGTCAAGGCACACAGCAGATCAGCCCGACCCACGACCCCTGCTACCTGGAACAAGTGGGTATTAAAGAGACACATATTTAGTATGTAGGTAATAAAAGACAAAGTGAATAAATAGATTAACTTTGAGGTTCCTGGTGGTCCGAGATTCGAACCCACAATCATAGGTTTCTGGCGTGCCCAAGGGACGCAACTCTGCACAGGGAATCGCGGCGCCTTAGACGACTTGGTAACCCGTGCCCCCACAAGACATTGAGGGAAAGATGAATTGTCTTTACCCCTTGAAAGAATCGTGTGTACATTCGTTTCCTATTCTGATATGCATATCCTTCAAATCAAGTCAAATCAAATTGTAAAATGTATACGGCCTAGCCAGTTCAATCCAACTGGTCCATTGATTTCATTGTTTTCAAAGCGGGCCTTATCAAAAGCATTGTCGCAAAGAGACGTCAGAAGAAGACTTTAGAATTAAATTTACTGAACTGATGTGTATTCTTGTGATCGGAAAATGCACATTTTGCTACATTTTCTTTGTAACAAGACTACAGGTCATGAATGCAGTAACATCCGAATTACGATGAATTACGGAATGTATGTCCCTCGTGAAGTATTGTTGAAAGTCAGTCAATCGCCAAGACTTGAGACTTTTAATTCACCCAGGATAGTAATTCCTACTTCCATGTAGCTTGTTTGGGATTCCGTAGATACACATGCATTTAGATTGACTCACACTTTCAGTGTGAATGGGATGCACAGCAAACAACACAGCACACAGGAGAGCAGCTCGGGGCGAGGCAAACACCGGCCTGGCAGATTCCTGGTCCACCTGGTAACCAGACATGAGGACAGAGAATACTGCCAGGAAGATGACCGACACCAAGCCGTGCAGGATGATGTTGACAACGTGGAAGCCTTCAGGGTGCAGAGATCCTGACCATGCGTAGTTCCATCTGCAATGGAGAAGACAAAGATGTTATTCTGGTATAAATCACCTGGCGTGAAATGTTACTTTTATTAACTTGAGATTATCACGTCTACAAGCAATAACATTAGCATTTAATTTACTGCTGGGATTTTTTGACAAAATGCATATATTCTTAAAAAATGTTCTCAGGTTTAACTTCGCTGGACCACCTGGGTGTAAAATAGTATTTGTTACGGCTCCCGTCAGAGAATAAGATGTGTTTTTGTAGCAGTATCTAACACCACTCCGTGTTTGATCAAAGCAACAGTATAAACATGGCGACTATCCAAAGACTATAGAGTCCCTGGCATAATCAACATCACATTGGTCAAACCAACATGAAACAGGAATTACATCAGTGAAACATAATGGGTCAGTTATAGGCTCAGGACTTTATCTGCTCATGGCGACGTGTGTTGCTTATAGAATTCAAATTACTTGTACAAGGTGCTGTTTGGATGTTATTTTTTAAGATCATGGAAAGAGTTTTGTCGCTTTTACTACTTTTCGCGAACACCTGGTGTCATCACTGAATTTCAGTGGTCCATTCATATCATTTCCACAGCTATTTTGTTTCGGTAGTAATTCTAGGATGGTTATTCTCTTGCACTGACAATTTATATTTACGTTACCAACCACAGTTGCTGAAGATGATGAACTTCCTCACCTGTACGTCATATCATTTCCACAGCTATTTTGCCCCTTACCCCAAATGGAATCTGTTTCGGTAGAAATTCTAGGATGGTTATTCTCTTGCACTGACAATCTATATTTACATTACATCCTCAGTTGCTGAAGATGATGAACTTCCTCACCTGTACGTCATAACGGTGAGGGGTCTGTAAGATTTGTGGCTTCTATTGCCCAGCGTGTTCCCCCAGAAGTCGTGAGCAAACAGGGTAGAGAGTGGTGTTCCGGGAAGCAAGTCTTTGTTATGTTTGACGGCCACGCTGTCATCAAGAACAAACTCCCCATCATAGCTGTTCGCGAAACACAGTACCGCCAGACAGAAGACGATGACAGATGCCACAGAGAAGCTGAGTTTGGGTACAGGCAGCACGTCATCCCACTCTGGTTGCTGGGAGTTGCTCATGTTGGTCTTGAGGAATCTTGGCCTGGACATCTCAGCGCTTACTATGATGACTGATATATTATCCTGGGGAGGAGAGGTTGCATGTGATACTAGTAGATGGTAGACGTTTTTTATATGTAAATAAGAGCACTGTCAGTAGGGTAGTGCATATGTGAGTCACTTTTAGGCTTCTCGCATAGTATTGTGTGTTTCGTTTATTTGTTATTTAACGCCGCACTCAGCTATATTCCAGCTGTATCACCGCGGCCTGTTAATAATCTAGTCTGTATCAGATTGACATCATGAGCATCGATCCACGTAGTTGGGATGCGATATCGTGCATCAACCAAGTCAGCGAGCCTCACCAAGCGATCTCGTTTGTCGCCTCTTACGACAAGCATAGCCGCCTTTTACGGCAAGCTTTTTTGCTGAAGACATTATATTCCCCGGATCTTCACTAGTCTTACACATAGTACCAATTGTACACTTACTAAAGTACGAAAGCCTAATGATGCAACTCTGGTACCATTTTTGTTTAATCGAATTTTCTCGCTATTTCTATTATTTATAGAAACAACGGGAAATTTCGATTTGACAAAACATTATGTTACTACAGTGGCTCCAGTAGGCTTTCGTACTAAAGAAAAATGTAAATATTACACATTTATATGAGTATTTCACTTACTGGCTATTCCATGCTTCACCAGGTCCTGTTTGGGCCGTGAATGTAATTTAGGAACGCTTGATATTCAGTGGCGTATTCATTGACCCAACAGTCGAAGGGGCCGTTGTGGTGACACGTGTATCATATCGACTACACAAGTCAGAGTGCACAAATCAATTTTGCTTGTGACAAACAATTTCAACACGTTTAGTATTGTGCGTTACAGACACTGGTCCCTGTATAATAAATCTTAAACTAAACAGAGGTGGTGACTGAAGTGCTACATTGTGCTTGTATGCATAACAAATAATCTTCCAGCTCGTGTATTGCAACAAACCATGGAGATTGTGTACATGTACATGACAAACAATCTACCAGCTCGTGTATTGCAACAAAGCATGGAGATTGTATACACGACAAACAATCTACCAGCTCGTGTATTGCAACAAACCATGGAGATTGTGTACATGTTTCGCAAACAATCTACCAGCTCGTGTATTGCAACAAACCATGGAGATTGTGTACACGACAAACAATCTACCAGCTCGTGTATTGCAACAAACCATGGAGATTGTGTACATGTACATGACAAACAATCTACCAGCTCGTGTATTGCAACAAACCATGGAGATTGTGTACATGTACATGACAAACAATCTACCAGCTCGTGTATTGCAAAAAAACATGGAGATTGTGTACACAACAAACAATCTACCAGCTCGTGTATTGCAACAAACCATGGAGATTGTGTACATGTTTCGCAAACAATCAACCAGCTTGTGTATTGCAACAAACCATGGAGATTGTGTACATGACAAACAATCTACCAGCTCGTGTATTGCAACAAACCATGGAGATTGTGTACACGACAAACAATCTACCAGCTCGTGTATTGAAACAAACCATGGAGATTGTGTACATGTTTCGCAAACAATCTACCAGCTCGTGTATTGCAACAAACAATGGAGATTGTGTACACGACAAACAATCTACCAGCTCGTGTATTGCAACAAACCATGGAGATTGTGTACATGTACATGACAAACAATCTACCAGCTCGTGTATTGCAACAAACCATGGAGATTGTGTACATGTACATGACAAACAATCTACCAGCTCGTGTATTGCAAAAAAACATGGAGATTGTGTACACAACAAACAATCTACCAGCTCGTGTATTGCAACAAACCATGGAGATTGTGTACATGTTTCGCAAACAATCAACCAGCTTGTGTATTGCAACAAACCATGGAGATTGTGTACATGACAAACAATCTACCAGCTCGTGTATTGCAACAAACCATGGAGATTGTGTACACGACAAACAATCTACCAGCTCGTGTATTGCAACAAACCATGGAGATTGTGTACATGTACATGACAAACAATCTACCAGCTCGTGTATTGAAACAAACAATGGAGATTGTGTACATGTACATGACAAACAATCTACCAGCTCGTGAATTGCAACAAACCATGGAGATTGTGTACATGTACATGACAAACAATCTACCAGCTCGTGTATTGAAACAAACCATGGAGATTGTGTACATGTACATGACAAACAATCTACCAGCTCGTGTATTGAAACAAACAATGGAGATTGTGTACATGTACATGACAAACAATCTACCAGCTCGTGTATTGAAACAAACAATGGAGATTGTGTACATGTACATGACAAACAATCTACCAGCTCGTGTATTGCAACAAAGCATGGAGATTGTACACGCGACAAACAATCTACCAGCTCGTGTATTGAAACAAACAATGGAGATTGTGTACATGTACAAGACAAACAATCTACCAGCTCGTGTATTGAAACAAACAATGGAGATTGTGTACATGTACATGACAAACAATCTACCAGCTCGTGTATTGCAACAAACCATGGAGATTGTGCACACGACAAACAATCTACCAGCTCGTGTATTGCAACAAACCATTGAGATTGTGTACACGACAAACAATCTACCAGCTCGTGTATTGCAACAAACCATGGAGATTGTATACACGACAAACAATCTACCAGCTCGTGTATTGCAACAAACCATGGAGATTGTGTACATGACAAACAATCTACCAGCTCGTGTATTGCAACAAACCATGGAGATTGTGTACACGACAAACAATCTACCAGCTCGTGTATTGCAACAAACCATGGAGATTGTATACAAGACAAACAATCTACCAGCTCGTGTATTGCAACAAACCATGGAGATTGTGTACATGTACATGACAAACAATCTACCAGCTCGTGTATTGAAACAAACAATGGAGATTGTGTACATGTACATGACAAACAATCTACCAGCTCGTGAATTGCAACAAACCATGGAGATTGTGTACATGTACATGACAAACAATCTACCAGCTCGTGTATTGAAACAAACCATGGAGATTGTGTACATGTACATGACAAACAATCTACCAGCTCGTGTATTGAAACAAACAATGGAGATTGTGTACATGTACATGACAAACAATCTACCAGCTCGTGTATTGAAACAAACAATGGAGATTGTGTACATGTACATGACAAACAATCTACCAGCTCGTGTATTGCAACAAAGCATGGAGATTGTACACGCGACAAACAATCTACCAGCTCGTGTATTGAAACAAACAATGGAGATTGTGTACATGTACAAGACAAACAATCTACCAGCTCGTGTATTGAAACAAACAATGGAGATTGTGTACATGTACATGACAAACAATCTACCAGCTCGTGTATTGCAACAAACCATGGAGATTGTGCACACGACAAACAATCTACCAGCTCGTGTATTGCAACAAACCATTGAGATTGTGTACACGACAAACAATCTACCAGCTCGTGTATTGCAACAAACCATGGAGATTGTATACACGACAAACAATCTACCAGCTCGTGTATTGCAACAAACCATGGAGATTGTGTACATGTACATGACAAACAATCTACCATCCCGTGTATTGCAACAAACCATGGAGATTGTGTACATGACAAACAATCTACCAGGTCGTGTATTGCAACAAACCATGGAGATTGTGTACACGACAAACAATCTACCAGATCGTGTATTGCAACAAACCATGGAGATTGTGTACACAACAAACAATCTACCAGCTCGTGTATTGCAACAAACCATGGAGACTGTATACACGACAAACAATCTACCAGCTCGTGTATTGCAACAAACCATGGAGATTGTGTACATGTACATGACAAACAATCTACCAGCTCGTGTATTGCAACAAACCATGGAGCTTGTGCACACGACAACAATCTACCAGCTCGTGTATTGCAACAAACCATGGAGATTGTGTACACGACAAACAATCTACCAGCTCGTGTATTGCAACAAACCATGGAGATTGTATACACGACAAACAATCTACCAGCTCGTGTATTGCAACAAACCATGGAGATTGTGTACATTACAGACAATCTACCAGGTCGTGTATTGCAACAAACCATGGAGATTGTGTACATGTACAAGACAAACAATCTACCAGCTCGTGTATTGAAACAAACCATGGAGATTGTGTACATGTACATGACAAACAATCTACCAGCTCGTGTATTGAAACAAACAATGGAGATTGTGTACATGTACATGACAAACAATCTACCAGCTCGTGTATTGAAACAAACAATGGAGATTGTGTACATGTACATGACAAACAATCTACCAGCTCGTGTATTGCAACAAAGCATGGAGATTGTATACACGACAAACAATCTACCAGCTCGTGTATTGAAACAAACAATGGAGATTGTGTACATGTACAAGACAAACAATCTACCAGCTCGTGTATTGAAACAAACAATGGAGATTGTGTACATGTACATGACAAACAATCTACCAGCTCGTGTATTGCAACAAACCATGGAGCTTGTGCACACGACAAACAATCTACCAGCTCGTGTATTGCAACAAACCATGGAGATTGTGTACACGACAAACAATCTACCAGCTCGTGTATTGCAACAAACCATGGAGATTGTATACACGACAAACAATCTACCAGCTCGTGTATTGCAACAAACCATGGAGATTGTGTACATGTACATGACAAACAATCTACCATCCCGTGTATTGCAACAAACCATGGAGATTGTGTACATGACAAACAATCTACCAGGTCGTGTATTGCAACAAACCATGGAGATTGTGTACACAACAAACAATCTACCAGATCGTGTATTGCAACAAACCATGGAGATTGTGTACACAACAAACAATCTACCAGCTCGTGTATTGCAACAAACCATGGAGACTGTATACACGACAAACAATCTACCAGCTCGTGTATTGCAACAAACCATGGAGATTGTGTACATGTACATGACAAACAATCTACCAGCTCGTGTATTGCAACAAACCATGGAGCTTGTGCACACGACAACAATCTACCAGCTCGTGTATTGCAACAAACCATGGAGATTGTATACACGACAAGCAATCTACCAGCTCGTGTATTGCAACAAACCATGGAGATTGTGTACATTACAAACAATCTACCAGGTCGTGTATTGCAACAAACCATGGAGATTGTGTACATGTACATGACAAACAATCTACCAGCCCGTGTATTGCAACAAACCATGGAGATTGTGTACATTACAAACAATCTACCAGATCGTGTATTGCAACAAACCATGGAGATTGTGTACATGTACATGACAAACAATCTACCATCCCGTGTATTGCTACAAACCATGGAGATTGTGTACATGACAAACAATCTATCAGCTCGTGTATTGCAACAAACCATGGAGATTGTGTACATGTACATGACAAACAATCTACCATGCAGCTCCTTTTATTGCAACAAGCTAATCCACAATTTGATTAGGAACAAACGACATGAGTTAATGTTAACCAGGTAAGTGGCTGTTATGTATATAGTTTAAGCAGAGTGTTCCCAGCCGAGAGACTCCGGCTGTTTTTCAGATCAATTGGCAGCCACGCGTGTTTCAGGTTAAATGTAGCCGCAGTCAACGTGGAGAACCTGCCACGCCTGATTTCTCCACTGTGTTTAGAGTTGAACAGAACAGATGCCGTTCAGTACTGTAGCGTGGTATTGATAACGCCGATCTACGGT